TTTTTTTTTTTTTTAATTCTGCACGTTAGTTGCTCTGGCGGTGGTTGGTGGTATTTTCTTTGTATTCCTTTCCGTACTGCGTGCGCGCAAAGCAGAACGTTGAGAGTCAGTCACCAGGGCAATAGAGCTAAAAATACGGACGGGCACATGCTGCCCCTGTCACGCCGTCTCTTCGGTTCAGCTCTCCCTCTCTTTCCTCCTCCCTACCAATTGAAATCAAGTACAATGACAGGATTAATAAAAACCTGTAACAAAAACCTTTCCTGTTTCAAAATAAGGCAAGTATATTTTGCAGGGAGGTGCTGAAATAAGTCTGTTACTGGCTGGTTTCCATGCTACAGGCCTTAACCCTGTGGTATGAATTCTGCTCCATGATTTCTCAATCACTGATTTTGTTTGTATAGGGGGTAAAGTTTAAAAAAACAAAACAAACCCACCAAAAAAAACCAACCCAAACCCAGGAAAACAAACAAAACCCACGAACCCAAAAAAAATCCACTCTGGTGTGAGTAAACTCACTACTCACTTTGGTCTCATTAATCCAACTGGCCGTTGCTTTAAAGTAGCAGTATCAAGAACCTGACAGCATGAGGATCTGTCACAAAACAGCTAAGGACAGCACATCCACTATCAGACTCCTCGTTCACACCTTGAAACCATTCCTGCCAAGCAGAACATCCGATCTCCTTGCTTAGTCAATCTTTTCTTTCCTATACGCTACCGTGAACACTGCCCTCGGGAGCTGAAGCTGCTGTGAGGTGAACTTGGGTTTCTCAGAAGTATTAACATCTTTTGTGTCCACAACTATGTGATCCCAAGAACTGGGATGTTGCCCATGTAAAGCTGGATGGAGAGCAATATCTTTCTGTCCCTTACTGACATGCACCTCTTTCAGAAGTACACAATTAAGTACATCTACTCTGGGGAAGTGGTCAGGGAAGGGAAGGAGGGAGGCACTAGTAAGTTGCTGATACTTTCTATTCCAGTTAGTAGACTGGCATTTGTGGATTCCCAGCCCCAATGAAAGGATGAACAAACCTGTGAAAAAAACGAAGTGTATCACTTATTTCATTAAAAAAACCTTTGAGACCACAAGTAATTGGTTCCACAAGTAGTAATTAAAGATATAGAAAAATACTGGAATTTGAGTAAATTAGCACTTTACATCTAAAAATGGAACGAAAGCAAACCTGCTAACTTAGAACACATGGAAAGTGTTTGCCTATGGCTGTGTGTTCTTCCTCTATGCCTTGGCCATGTCACAAGCCAGTTTCATATCAGAACGGATCAAACAAAAACACCCAGGTGTTACAGTAGCCCCTGTCTTTGTTCATGGCATCAATTGTTCCCTAATATCAAACATATGACTATAAACTGAACGCTTGATAATTGTGAGAATCTGCTCTCTGACTTTCTTCCAGCAATTCAGCAAGGAAGGAATTTCTTGGCTCAGAAGTTCTGGCTCACCTTGCGTGGTGTTTTGTATGGTCAGAGCAATGTAAAAGACTTCAAGAAAATGTCGTTAGCACTGAAATGTAATTGGTGGAGAATATATGCACACCTTTGCTGTAACAGAGAAGAACACTAGCAAGCCATGTCTTCAGATACATGCATGTGACTCTTGCTGGCTCAGGCTTGTGAAACTACAGTAAATACTTACACAAAAGAAATTCTGACATACAGAACGGTATACTACCATATCTCTTGTGAGCATCTACGGGATAAGAAGTGGTCCGGTTAGACTGAGTAAATACAATGACAATTACCCACAAGCACCTTGGACCTTATTTCCCACTCTAAGAAGTATCTCCGTGGCATATAAGCAGTAAAAAAAGAGCCATCTTTTGTCAGCCTCACCTGAATATAGAGTGCAAGTTGTGCATAATCCTGATCTTTATTCAAGCAGGTGTCTTCTGTTTCTTAGATATTCAGTCACTGTTTGTGAATAGTGACATCTAACAGAACCATGTTCTTGAAAATTCCCCTGAAAACCAAGCTGGATCTGGTCAGGTTTAAGTTAGGGAAAAAGTGTCCCTTCATGTGTATGCTTTAGAAACTACAGTTGTTGCTTTCAGCTTTATGAGATGGTCGCTTGTACTGCCATGCACACAGGCCCTGTGACACTTTCAGAACTAATGGTCCTGGTAAGTGGTGTTGACAGCAAATGATCTTTATCTTGTGCTGATAAGAGGTACAAATATATATATGTATATATTACAGCCATACTTTTAAGGAAGAAATAACAGGTTAGCACAGATCACCATGATTCTAAAACCTGGATTTTTACATTTTACGTTTTTTAGCACTTGACTTGGTAAGCTTAATACTGTTCTCCTGTTAGCGTCTGTCTTTTGTACAGTATACACAGGCGTGCAAAACCCATTTACTTCCCAATTGGACTGTGAGAGATTTTCACCTGATCTATGGGGAAGGAAACAACATCACTGAGAAGTCTTGCATCTGGAAAATCATATTATTTGCTTCTCTCTAACTTTTCAACTTTTTTTGCTTTCCTTAGGTTTGCAACAATGGTAAAGGAGGATATTGTAAATGCCAATGAAGATTCTGAGCCATCAGTATGTGAGAGTAATGGCATGATTCCCATGCACGAGAAAAGTGAGGTAATTAATTAGTATCTCAAAGTACAGTTTTAGTCAGAGGAACCCTTGTTTTCCTTTCCTTTTTCTTCCTACATCTGTTAAAATCCCGACATCTGAAGGGAATATAAAGAGTAATCTCCTCAGTGGGAATTTCTTACAATTAACAAATGTTCAGTTTTTAAAAGTCAGTGGTATGTTGTATTGCTGGAAATCAGTGCTTGCAATTTCAGCTTGAAGTGGAAAATGCATCAGCATTAAGTTTTACAATCAGCTATGGAGGAGAATTAGATGGACTTAAGATTGCTCCTGTGCTTCCAAATTGTGCCTGCCTGTCCACATGCTGAAAGTTGTTCATGCATCTCTTCTTTTTTTATTATTTAACAAAAATAAAAAACCTCACAGTTTTAAAATTCCATGTGCATATTTCCGATGTTGACTTCCATGGCTTTAAAAAAGACTTGCAGTAAAAGCAAGTAGGAATAAAATTCTTAATATAAAGACACTTTAGTGGAAACATATAATATTGACTGTAAACGTAAGTACCGTATGGCATTTCTTTATATACATGGGTAGCCGGTGATCACAGAATCACAGGGTAGATAACCAAGTAACTCTATGCTGAAAGCTCACAAGATTTGTGTTCCAACTGTGACTCTGAGTAAAGGAGATATATATATATCTAGAGAGAGAGAGATGAGACAGAAAAATAATGGGAAATGTGGAACTGTTACTGGAGGAGGGCCAAACCACAGTATAGGCAAGAATTCCATGTCCATGCTATGATAAAGAGCTGACATGAAGGTGAATAATCATAAAGGAAGGTAGATGATTAACTTGTCAAAAATAAGGACCCTGAAATGAAGTGAGACACATATCCAAAAATGGTCAAAAAGTGCTTTGGCTATGAATATGGATAAGTAGATGAATCAGTATAAGAGAACAGCTTCAAGGAACCATTCTTCAAGGAAATAACTCCCAGGGTAGTATTTCTCCATCTCTGCCTTGACTTACCAGCTTGAGCCTTCCAGCAATGGATCACGTGAGTAATGCTTGCACTGGCCACCTGTTGTTTCTTTCATCTTTGTCTAATCACAAGTAAGTTTTGTTATTTTGGCTCAAGACTTTGCAACAGAAGTTCTTTAGGAGTTACATTAAAGACACTGTCTCACTGGAATGATGCTAATCATTAACTGTATTGTGGAATCCAGTCTGGAAGCAGAACCCTATCAAACTGTAGAAAATATTGACAAAATTTTAGCTTATGTACAAGACAAGCTGAACCTGGCCTGTTAATATTGTTTCTTCATCAAAAATGCTGATATGATATTGTTGCTGAACAGGTGCTATTTGTATTGGGACAGGAGTCCTGTCAGTTGCAGATAAAAAGGCAAATGTCCTACAGTCTGTCATATGCAGTTCTTTGTGCCATGCAAAAACAAACACATAACCAAAAATCCCAGATATACTACAAAGCTGGACCATTCCTACAGCGACTGTGTAGTTAACGTAGTCATCTGTAGACAGCGTGGGTCTAGTGCATCACAGCTGGTTTCAAGTCTTGTACGCTACTTCAAATGCATACAGTGCCGCTTCTGAGAGAGTCTCACTGTTTTCGTTCAGGAAGGACCAACAGCAGATGCCAAAGGTACTGATGGGAATATACAAACAGAAGAAACTGCTCTCTTGAATCATTGTGCTCAACAACCCCCGGAACCTACAGCAGGGTCTTCAATACCTACAAGAACATGGAGGCAAATATTTACTTGTCCTCCTCAGGGTTTACTGGCTCAAACAGTGACAAATGGTATGTTATAAAGACAGAGTTTAATTAAACTGAGAAATGGCAAATGAAGTTCTCATTCCCCTGGGTGTCATGATATCTGTCCACTGTCTTTGAAAATAATGAAAGGAAATAGCTGTTTTACACATCACGCTTTTGTTTCAATGTTTTAGCAGGAAAAAAAAAAAGACGAGAAAAAAAGATTTGAATGTGTATTTTTTTTCCTGCATTCTCACTTCTGTGTTTAACATGGTAGGTATGTTTTTGCATTGCAAATTGTTTTCACCAGAAGAAAGACCTCCTAATTCTCGTCTCGATAGTTTCATTTGGTTATTATAAACACAGTGGCATTTTTGGCACACTGGATGGCTTTTTGTTGAATTAAGGCAACAAATATGAGACTTTGCAGTGATACAGTCTTTTGTTTCTTAATATCCCAGGCTTGCAAAGCCAAGAATCCTGACTACCAGGCAAACTGACCCGTTCTGTTTAAGATTTGCCCTGCACTGAAAGCTCACAGAAGAGAATGCCTGGCTAACCAGTTATTTCAGACGTTTCCTGACAAAAGACACTTCCTGTGGCTTTGACTGCTTCCACAGGCTCCGTTCGCTCTCACTTGGGATTCTTAGGCTTTTATGTTTGGAAATCTACTGGTCTCCCCTTTGCCACCCACCACCCTCAAATAAGGTTCAGAAAAATCCAATCTAAAAATGCAGTATGTTTTCTTATGATTATGAGAAGGGAGATTTATTACCATATTTTTTCCTCTCCTTCCCTCTTCTGCTTTTATATCTATGTATGCCTGGTTTTGTTGTATAACTGTAGGGATAGATTTGGGAGCCTGGAAAGGCACAGTATTTTCACATATTTTATAATATTTTCACTTAATGTTTTCATAATATTTTTCAGGATTTTTTTTTCCTCTGCATTATCCCTCTTTGATTGCTGTATCAAGGGAAGTATCTGTACTACTTCAGGCTGTCCAGAGACATGACCTTCTTCAGATTTTTTTTTTTTTTGCCCCCCACCCTGGGATAGCAATGTATTGCACAAGCACATCCAGCCAAAAAATGATACTTAAATTCTTTTAAAAATTAGACTGGAGCTGCAGTTATTAGCTCAAAGATATGCCAGGCTGTATAGCAGCAGGTTCTTACTGCAGTTCTGAAGTAGCTGAAGGAAGATAAGCAAATGCAAGATAAGGTAGTGGAAGTCTTTGCTTTAAGTTTGGGGCCTGTTAAGTGCTTTCCACAGTGGCCCAAGGCTCACTCAGTACTTTTTGGTCCCTAATGATGTTCCTGTTACCATTTTTTAAAGTATCTTAGCATCTATAAAATCAGAATATCAGTTTAGGGAGCGTCAAAGATTGAACACATTGTTATGATTAAACTAATTTTTAAGGTCAGTGATTTTATTTCTGAAAGTCATGTACCTTTTTCCTTAGCAGAAACACAAATGTGATCTAATAGCAAACAAGGTTGTCCCTGAGAGATGATTAAATATGACTCTTTCTTGTTTTGTTCCAGTTGCAATCGTGGTCCTGGTTTGGGCTGTGGTTTGGTCCATCACTGGGACTGAGTGTCTCCCAGGTGGAAACCTGTTTGGAATTCTGTTTCTTTATTTTTTTGCTGTCATTGGAGGTAAAATTTTTGGATTCATTAAAATACGAACACTACCCCCTCTCCCTGCTCTTCTGGGTAAGATATCCTCTTCCTTCTTTTCTTCCTGCATGTTTGTGTTGTTTAAACTGTCAAGTAATATCTGTATGCTAGATATGTTTGGACTGGGAACAAAGAGAGTGTGTCACACTCAAAATCTGTAGCTTTTCCAAGTGACTTTTATCTGGTCGTCTCCAAGAAGGTGCAAATTCCCCAAACTGGCTCAAGTGAAATAGCCTGTATGTTACTGAGGTTCTCCTCTTAATTATTCAGGGGCCAGAGTACCGTATACCTACAGATTCAAAGGTTATTGTCCTTCAGTCCCCTCTGCCAGAGTTACTTAAAATTTGGTTTTAATATCATTAAACAGGAGTCTTAATCTGGACCTCCTGTTACAGCAGAATAATTAATTTGTAAGGAAATTACTGCTGAGCTGTTTCACATGTATCTTGCACAATGAAAATGTTTTCCAAAGAAAACACTACAGGAATTCCCTACTACTGGTAATCCAAAGCAACTTCTTTCTTCTCCTTGCTTTATCTCAAGATAACTGAAACCTGAGAAAATAAATTCACCACAAGAGTAATTCTTCTGAAGAGTTATTTTGAATCAATCATAACATTGTTTTTCATTTCAACATCTTATTTTATTTCACATAAAAATGCAAAATAGAAATGGGAGATGAAAATTATGTTAATTTTTACATCATCAGAACCTTTTCAGACTTCTTTCCTAGAGGAAGTTTTGGTTAGATCAGTACAATATTGTGAAGTCAATGAAGCTGAAAATGAAGCTCCAGGTTCTTCTCACCAGCTGTATACTGCCCCCTTACTACGCTTAGTGCATAAATGAGTAAAGCCGTTGACAGACAGTAAAACTTCATGGCAGAGTGGGCTACAGATTTCTGCCTGTAGTGCACGGATGTGGTTTTGTAAACTGCATAGCTGGTGTTTTGCCTCACACAGTACCACTGCTTACTGAAGGGCTAGATAGCTTCATGTACAGCTCCATCCAGGCAGCATGTGCATTCTTGCACTGCTTAGTTTCATGAGTGAGAAAGAATTCAAATGAGAGGGAGGGAAGTTTTGCATATAGCATGCATGCCTGCGATAATATGAACACAGAATGCAACACACAGGGAGTCTGCCCTTTCTAAGTAAATACCCTCCTTACAAAAAAAAAGTCTCTGACCATTTGGATTCTGCTTTTTTTAATTACATCTATATCTAAAAGTTATGACTTGAGCATGAAACTACTTGTCAGACAGGTAATACTGAACAACAGAAACTTAAGCATGACAGCACATGTCTGTAGAGTTGCTTAGGACAGAGTTCATTGTTCAGATCCCCAGTCTTTGAGGAAAATTGGAGAAATCTATGAGTCAGAAGAAGAGATAGACAATGTCTTTGAATACTCTTTTTTACACTAAACATACAAATCTTATACTCTTACGTGCCTTTAATCCACTTGTGCTAGGTGCAGTTGAATGTATTGTAGCTGGCTGAGGACTTAAGCACCTTACAGTGAGCCTCTGTCTGAGGAAAAAAGGAGTGAAATTGCTACTGAAACAGTCACATAGTACATTTTAGGCATACATTGCAGAAAGGTTTCTGCAGTAGGCAACACGGAGCAGAACAGTGATATATCAGCACATCCTTTGAGGTGGAGTTTTTTGCTTTAAGTAGATTTCTAGATCCGGTTAGATCTAGTGACTTGGACCTCAAGTAAATATTGCAAAGAGCATGTGATCATTATGCTAGCTTGATATAACTGTCATGAGGTACCGCAGATTAATTATGCCACTGTTTTTTTGCTGGGAAGTGGTGGGAAGAACAATGACTGAAAGTTTAGCATGTTCCAGGAAAAATCAAGTCCACAGCCAAGGTTCACACCAAGCTGGAACCAACCTAAGCACAGTGTTTGTTTACTTTTTGTCTTTTTTGGTTTCCTGTTTCTTAACATGGCTAATATAAAATTATGCTACAAAAATGTATCTTTGAATCTTTGGGACAACGAATCTCTGCAGATCTATATTTAAAGTCACCCTTTCCTGTACTTTTCTGTATCCTTCCAGAACTACAGTTCCGATAGCTTTGCAGGAAGTCTGATTAGACGGTTTTGCTAATATTTGCAAAAGGTTGGATCTTGCAAGCAGCTCAAATAGAGGATAAGAGCATAAGGATAAGAGTCATATTGCTAGAGCATTTTAAAATGTCTAAGTTAGTCCATGATTAGCTGTTTTAGATTATATTTCCCAATGAACTCAGCATTATGGTTCCTGTGATACCTGCATTTCTTACACCTAAGAGGATTTTTAACAATTTCCAACTTCTGAGATACATATGCAATATTAGAGAATCTTCCTCTTTTCATGTTAAAACGAGCTAAGAAGAAAAATATCTTTAAGGATGCAGAGGTGTCTTTGCTTATGGTAAGTATGACCTGCACCTGGTGAACAAAGCTGAATTCTGTTGACTTGCATTAAAGCTATGTGTCAGCATCCTGCAGATTTATTCATTGGTGACCTGGTGTGTTCTTAGGCCACTTTCATTGCTTTAAACATGTCTCTCTCTTTTGCCTCAGTCCAAAACATGGCTAATAATTCAGAACATGGATTGTTTCTTTGTCTCTCGTAAACACATAACATGGTGTCTGTTTTGAAGAATTCTATGCATGCTTTTAGTGCAATGAAAGCAAATCATCTGACAGGAGCTTCTTTGCTTTCATTTAAGGGATGCTACTTGCTGGTTTCCTAATCCGAAATACCCCCTTCGTTAGTGACATCGTCCAGATAAACCTACGCTGGTCTGCAGCACTGAGGAATATCGCTCTTTCAATTATCTTGACTCGAGCAGGACTCGGCCTGGATCCAAAGGTATGGCACCACCCATTTGTGTGAGGCAAAGTATACAACAGCCGTCAAAAAGAACTGAATAATTGTTCTGTTAAAAATATTGAACTGTTCAGTCTCAGAGGATCTGCAAATTAAAGCATTACAGAAAGTATAGTTTCTATTGCATAGTCATATGTTACTACTGGCAGTTGGATTTGTAGAGTAGGCAAGCAAGCCAAAAAATAACTGAAGAAAACTGATTTTATAACTATTATCCCCCTTGCCTTAAAGAAATTTCCTGAATTTTGTGAGCAGAACATCTTGAGGATATGTGCTCCATTGTGGTCTGTCAGGAAGAGTTTACGCTCCCTGAGAAACTCCCTGTCAGTTCACACTGACAAACGAAACAAGTAATGGAAGGGATCCCCAGTCCCTGAAGGAGAATGTTACTTGTGTTGACACCAATCAAAAAAACCCCAACTAACCAAAAAATCCAAACTTGTCTTTTTTGCTTTTTCTCTTTTCGTTTTTTTGAATCATTGCCATTTTAATGCAAATATATTCATTGCAAAGATGAGTCTGTTGCACTACAGAAACAATGCTTCACATCACAATAAAGCCCATAACACTCCTGCGAACAAAAAAATAGTCTTCCTCCGCACACTATGAAACGTGATGCTCCATAAATTAATGAAGGCAAGGTTTTGCTTGACCAAAATCAGCTGGCTGAAATAAAACTGTACCGTATTGGCCCCTATCTATTCAAGTTTAAGGGGCTGCTTAAAGTTTATATAAAACTTAGGTCAAGTATAGCTAAACTGATTTTTCTTAACCAAGATGAAAACTGGGGAGTTGTCAATGCTTCAGATATTTAGAAAAATAGGGTTTTGTCATTCTTGAAAAATGCCTGGTTTCCTAGATTACTCTCATCCATTTTTCCAAGACATTTGAAGCTTGTATGAACATGGACTGTGTGTTGTTACACATGGCTTGGATGCCCAGTTCTGTGAGATTGCTTTTCCTTCTATTCCGTGACAGCTTTTTTTGCCAAAGGAACTTCATTTTTTACTCATTTTTCTCCCATGATTGAAACTGTCATTTGGACTCTGTATGTAGCAATGCTTTGATGCAGTCACAATTGTTCCTCATGTAATTGAAGCTGTGAAGATGAAGATGTAGGTTGCTCTGCTGATTCTCAGCCCTAATTATGCTGGGATAAACTGCGCTGGTAAAAAGTACAACTCACTGATTTTTTTTTTTTTTTTAATGTCAAAATTAGGGACCTATCCTAGCAGAGTCATGTTTGTGACTAACTATTAAAGGCAGCTGTTACAAGAAAATACTCTGGTTTAGAGAAATTTTTTAATAGAAGTTGCTGAGCCGAATGGAACTTAACCTGGTCTGGCTATCAAGTGAGAGACAGCTGAAAGAGATGCTTGGTGCCTTGCGCCAAGTTTATGTAGTTCTACAACTTTTCATGATTTGTTCATGGATTTGGGGATAATGTTTTGGGGGTGCTCATGCAATTTGTGGGATTATAGCAAAATCTTTTGTGGGTGGAGCAAATGACCTCAAGTAGCTGTGGGTAAATCAGCTGTGTTGAGGGTGCACTTTTCAAGTGGATCCCAGCTAGTCCAGCCTCTCACATTTAGTTTGCTCTGCACAAGAAGCCAAACAGAATTCTCTGCCACTCCTTCCTGTGACATGCAGGAACCTTGTCGAAGGCAGATGCAGTGGGTTTCACTGTGACACTTGGAATTTTATATCCAAATCCAGTTGTGCTTGAGTCTCTCTCTGGCTTAGGCTATGTAAAGCTGTCATCTCCTGTACTGCGGCTCAGAGGGGATTCTTTTAATAAACCATATCAGATCATAAATGTATTTCTTCTCTATAAAGCCAAGGGTACTGATACTAACGGCCGAATGTGTTTTTATATTGCAGGCTCTTAAGAAACTCAAAGCAGTCTGTTTACGGCTTTCTTTTGGACCATGCATCTCGGAAACATGCACAGCTGCTGTTCTTGCCTACTTGTTCATGCATTTGCCATGGCAATGGGGATTTATATTAGGGTATCGTACTCACTCTTCTCCCGTATGACAAAGGTGCCTGTTTGCATGCTACAGTTAAATGATTCAAATGCAGTTATTTCTCTGCACCAAGCAGAGACCTCAGATTAATGCCAGTTAGAAAGCTGTGCTTAGTCCCTGTGGTTGTTTGCTTACCATTCGTGTCTATCTCTGTGGCTAATTTAAAGGTCACATTTCCAGGCTGTGGAGGAGTACTTGCATCATTGCTCTTCTGTGTTTGTGATCTGGGCACTCGAAGAAGAAACACGGATGGTGCAATCCCTGAGTCTTTAACCACAACACAGGGGTCTCTTAGAGGCAGAAAATGATACCATAATTTGGAGAATCTTCATGCTGGAGTTCATAATTTCCTTGTAGAGAGGTGCACAGAGGACAGTCTTCCTGTCACAAGTCAAGAATAAGGATATGGCTTGTTATATGCTGGAGTAATATCCTTGAAGAGGAAACCTTTTCCACCTAGTTCTACCTAAACTGGGGGACTTGGTCTGGACCCATATGCTGGAGCAAGATGGATGAACTTCTCCTCCTCTGCCACACACTTTTTATGAGAAAGAACTGGGCTACTGAGTCATAAGCATGTCTAGAGCAGGTTCTTAAAGTGGACAATCAAGGCATGTATCAGGGAGCATAACTGGCCTGCAGTGTAGACTCAAGTCTTAGTCTGTGGAGCCCTTTACTTTTAATACTGAGTTGGGCAGGAAGTAAAAGCTGATTGCAAATCTGCATAGAAATATCCCTGCTTGTACTTAGCAGGGAAAGGCAAGGAAAATACCTTATGTAAACGTCTGTTTATTTATACTTTAAAATAATTGGGGTCAGAACATTCTGAAGTTTTTTAGTTCAGTGCTTTCTTTTTAAGAGAGGCTGAACCTGTGTGTTTTCAGTTTTGTTCTAGGTGCAGTCTCCCCTGCTGTGGTGGTTCCCTCAATGCTGATTTTACAAGCTGGGGGATATGGGGTGGAGAAAGGTGTCCCAACCTTGTTAATGGCAGCTGGCAGCATTGATGACATTCTGGCTATTACAGGCTTCAACACTTGCCTTGGGATGGCTTTCTCTTCCGGTATGCTGGTTAATCTGTACGTGGTGAAATCCAGAACAAACAGTGATATTTTGAGGAATGTATGCTCTGTTACGACTGACTGGTTTGTAACTTAATGACATCTCCTTATAAAGTTCATGTATGGACTTGAATATTGAGAGGGAAATTACCCACGATCAAAAGTCTTGGTGTAACATTGTCTGCTCTCAGTTGTGGGTCACATCAGCTTTCAGAGAACATTTTTCCCTGTCTGCTCCCTCAGCTGCCAAGTCTGGCCCCTGCATGCCCAACATAAGTGCTTTCAAATTTCCATGGGTTTGGCAATGTTCTCGCAGTGGCTCTTTCTCTGGCTTCTCTGGCACACTTTCTTGACATGAGCTTGCCCTATCCAGTTGTTTCAGGGTCATAGGTTCCTCCTGAACCACTTTACCCCCAAGTAATTTAAAGCAGACACTGTCCTGGAACTGCCCTTACAGGCTGACAGTGTGGTTTGTGTGTGAAGTGTCTATGGCTTACTGAACCTGCTTTTCTTTTGCCAAATAGGTTCAACTCTCTACAACGTGCTCCGTGGAGTGCTGGAGGTTGCTGTTGGCGTAGCAGCTGGGGGGATTCTGGGAATGTTTGTTCGATATTTCCCAAGCCGTGATCAGGTAAAAAACCAGTAAAAAAATCTTTTTGTAAAATAGAGATTCTTTGCTAATGGATGTTATTCTTAAGTTATAAACTTCCAAGCTTTATGTGAAGCTGCTTTTGGGGAAAGCTGTATACAGCACTAACAGCTTCCAGGTTGCAAAGCCTATCAAGTGAGGATGTGTTTTATAAGTGATTACTTGTTTACTGCAACAATAACAATGTGTGATCTCATAGTCTTTCCTGATGCAGAATTTGGAACCCAGCTCACCATCCTGCTCTCATTGAATGTGGTGGAAATGTCCACATGTAAAGGAGAAAGGGTCTGATACCTATTTCAGGCAGTAAAATAATCATCAATTAGATTGATGTGCAACACATTTACTTCTATAAGATGTTTCCAGTAGGTCTAAGATTAAAAGCAAGTAAAGCGGACAGATCATGGGCTTTAAGTGATTGGGCATATCATTAATGCTAGCTAGAATGTGTTACTTTCAATAAAAATTAAACTTATATCAAGTGGTAGATAAGTTACAATCAACGGACAATTAAGTGAACAGAAAATTGTGGAAGAAAATAGGTATGTTCTGGACTACTGAAGTCAATTTGCAAAGCATCTATTGCCCTCAGTGGGATGAAATTTTCCTCTTACTAAGTAACATAAGAAGTGTGGTACAGGAGCCAGAGAGATAAATAGAAATGGGGAACAATGGCAGAGATGTAACTGTCTGCTGTGAGATCAAATAAAACTAGACTGTCCCTGTTGAACATTTGTATGACTTGTCCTTAAAAACATCTAGTGGCAAGGATTTCAACTCTCCTTGGATAAACTGTTCCAGTACTTGACTGTACAGGTAGAAAATCCTGTTATCACAGAGATGAAGCAGGGCTGTTAGAATAGATCATCATATTCCTTGTGATACAAAAAGCCTTTTGACAAGGTTTTGGATGGACAGAGGAAAGAAAATACTAAATTTCTAAAATTTTAATTTCTTAGGAATTAATATCCAAGAAAACCCCTCAACTCAACTGAATAGTTCAAGTCTCACTTGAAAGCTTTGATTGTTTCACAATGGTTAATGGTAATTGTTATTTTCAAATTGCTATTTTCAAAATTAAAAGAAGTAACCTTTTTCCTCCATTTCTAAAAGCAATTTACTTTTTTGTTTGTCTCTCTCCTTGGCTGCAGGCATCTCTGGCATGGAAGAGGTCATATTTTGTACTTGGGCTGTCCATGTTTGCTGTTTTTGGCAGCATCTACTTTGGCTTTCCTGGATCAGGAGGGCTCTGCACGCTAGTCTTAGCTTTTGTTGCAGGTGTGGGATGGTCTGATGAAAAGGTGAATGTTTACATAAAGAAGCATACCATACCAAAACTCCTTTGAATGTACAGCTTGACAGGAGTTTGAATTTCTGTCAGGAGTGGTAATGGTGCATTTATGAAGCTTTAGGGGGGTGTATGGATTAAAAAAAAACATTCTATGTTTATTTTGGAAGTCTTTAACAATGAGCATGACAGGAAGTTACCATGTATGTGAATATATATCAATACAGAGCCTAACATACTGACAGAGAAATGCTCTCAAGCTTTTCTTAGACATCTTAAGCCATGTAAAGGAGATTAGTTGTCCAGGCACTTGACTAGGAATCCAAAGCTTTATGTCCCAGCTCTGTGAGTGTCTGTAACCTTACACAGTCACTTTACGGTAAGATTTACAAACAGGTGTCCAAAATACAGTGTGCACATGGCCTGAATACTCTGAGGTTTTGTTGCCTGTGGTTTTGTGGGGGGGAATGGAAACCAGTAACTAACCATCCTCTCTCATCTTTCCCAAATCCCAGCCAGTGTATTCTGGATAAATTAGAGAGCAGGGTACCCACAAAAAATGGTGATCTAAGGCCACACAAAAAGCGTACAAAAGACTGCTTTTTAGTCACTGTTTCTTAACTGCTAAGCCTGCTTCCTCTTACTGTTGCTGCCCTGCTGCATTTCTGTACCTTGGCATGTCTCACTGCCTCTTTTGGTTGATACCATCTACACTTAATGTTTTGAGGGCATCTTTCTCTCCACAGCTGTAGCCTTGCAACTTGCAGTTGGAGAAGGGGAGAGGAAGAGACAGGAAAGGGGATCAGATATAGCAGAGTCCACATTATTATCCCCATCTAGACCCTGACTTCAGTAAGATCTCAAGGTTTGTTAAAACAATGAAAAACAAACCACGGTTTCTATTTAAAGTATTACAATGTTGTCCAATTTTAAAAGAAGAAAAACTTATCTTGGGACTTAACTACTTAAGGACATTACAACTGATACAGCTCTCTATTGAAAAGCTTTGAAACCATTTCGGAAGGAAGGACCTTATGCAGTCTATAAATGCTTAGTTTAAATTCTTTTGATCAGTGAATGAAGCTTCTTGGCCTTAAGGATGTTGATGTCAAATGCCTTAGCTCTCTTTAATCAGATACAGTCAGAGATGTCTGCATACTGTTTACTCAATACCAAGGTTTTCC